TCGATATTGATCATTCAAGAAATTTTCCATAGTCACTTCTTTATCTTAGTGCTATTAGTGTGATCTTACGTATAAGACGTCACATTCACTTTAAAGAATGGACTATAATCAATTTGTTGCTATTTTCTTTTCACACTTCTGGTGAGAATACAAGTTTTTGAAAGAAACATCTTGGTCTTGACACTCAAGAAAAATTTTATAGCCAACTTTTTTGGCTTAATATTATTAGTATGATCTTTTCTTTTCTTATATAAGATTGTCGCATTCATAATCATCTCAATGTTATAAAAATCTAATANTAGAGNATATAAATATGTAGCATTAGAACTTAATTCAAAATGCACTCTAATAACATGATAATACTGATCGATTAATCTTTACTCAAAACAAAGAATCCACTTCACAAATTATGAATTAATAAAACTATTAACATGTGACAGAGGGATTACATTTTAGAGATCCATGAATCAAACGATTTTCAAGGTTGAAAACCTTAACGATATGCATATTTCATATTCACATAATCTTATAGAAATTCTAGCACACATCAATGGCAGTCAACAAAAACGCAGCAAATGATATACTTTTAACATATGCATAATTGGGTGATTCAATAATTAGATTTTATTTTCATTTATATGCGAATAATAGTACGAGTTATTTGAACCTATCATCAATTCAGGTAGACTTATATCTATGTTACCTACTGGTAGATGAGATTAACATAATAACATCGATTCATTAATTATTCAAACTATATGATTCACTTTATAATTTATAAATTAATCACCCAAACTAATAAGCATGACCAAGCGTGTGTATNTATCAACAAGTCAAACGTATGCATATAATTGAGTATTATGCAATAATTCCATGAATTTATTATAATACTTTAAANTTNNNATGNAATATAANCGAGAGAANAAATACAANATGGTCAAGGTTGTGATAAATTCAAGGTGGTGNACTGAACAAATTTATTTTTAATTGTTAAATTCGTTTTCTTATTTTAAGAATCTTTAATTAGAGATTTTAGTAACTTACTTGAATAAGTATCCAAGACGATACCGAAGAGAATCGGCAAAATAATCCCAAAAGCTTATCACTGAATTGTGAATCATTGCTAAACCGGTTCCTCCTCCACACATGAACGACACGACANTGACAAACAACGATTTACCAACCAAAATTAATTTTCAGTCCAAAGAAGCAGTATCAAGTGATAATGAAAACAATATACACAAAATAGATCTTGACTAAAACAAGNANNAATAATCGATGNCTAAATGAAACTCTAATACTTGATCTGTTATTGATACATAAGTCAACGATAAAGCAATTAAAATNATGTGCACAGATAATAATAAAACAATAAAAACATGAGCGAATAACGAAAAGTACACATCGACTATTATAAACTATCTTATGGATTCCAATAATAAACATGTGTCGAGTTTTCATAAAACACTATAGCATCATATGATAAGACAATATTAAACTAGTCAATTTCGGTAAATCAACAACGTAATAATTAAACATTTNTCGATCGATTTTAANTAAANATGTTTTGGCCAATAAAGTATGTGATGCCACAAATTTATAATCAGATCGAAATAATATGATAAATTAGTAGCACTTATCTTGTATTCAAACGGGTAGGGTTTTACTCATAGATTAGAGTTTCGTGCTCAGACGGCTAGGCTATCGTGCTAATACCGTGTTATGAATAAGAGAAAGAGAGAAAGAATTTGTGTTATCTTATTCTATCAATAATAGAGAGTATATATAGGATTACAAATACTTGGAGAACAAGTATAACTTAGAGAACAAGTTATTCTAGAACATTATAGAACATGGCCTATAATGGGCATCAATTTATAACAT